CCCCAAAACCCCAAAACCCCAAAACCCCAAAACCCCAAAACCCCAAAACCCCTTCTTGAATGACGTTTATTGAAAGAAAGCATTTTATGTAATTAGCGATTAATGGAGTTTTTGACAAAACTATCCTCTACTGTATCAGCAGTATTGTCTTGGTTGAAAAACTCATCGTCATTTTTGTGTCTTGATGGAAGCTCAGGTGTTGAGTCAGATGCTTCTGAGTCTTTCTTCACAAGGGTCTCGCTAAATGAATTTGCAAAAGAAACTCTCTCCACTTCGACCATCTGCTTGATAGTTGCTTTCTTCCTAGCTTTGCCCTTAGCTGCAGGTGTTAAGAAGTATTTCTCAAGATTTGCACATGGAGTTTCGATGAATACTGTGAACAAGAATGATGCCAAGAACGAAGCCACCATCCATGCAAAGAACATGGCCATGTTGTAGTTCCTGCTGGCCCAGATCGCTCTTTCTCGGTTGAACGCTTCGAAAGTCATGAAAGTAGCATGCAGCAAGAACACTCCGAATGACAGTCGTGCAAAAGGAGTGAAGAAGTCGTGACCCAGAACTGCTCTGAAGAACAGCCCTCTTCCGAGAAGTATCGGAAATACAAACATGTTCATGCCCAGCACAAACAGAGGCTTTGTCAGAGTCATGTAGAACGAGTTGAAGAGCTGTGAGAACTTCTCAGGGTGGTTGTTGATTGGCTGGAATGTAAACGTGATCACCACCATGATTCCTAGTCCTGTCCAATACAAAACTTGACGCAATATCCAGCTCCGCTTGATTTTGTCACAACACCTCTTTATCAAACTCTCAGCCGGGTCGTCATTTCTGAACGAGTAGATTGCGAGCCCGCAATAAATCCCGATCAAGAACGGTGACACCCTCATATACGGCTTCATGTAGTAGACTCTGTAGTAGTTCTCTTTGATTTTGAACATGCTCGGCCCGAACCCGGCAAGTTGCAGAATGACCACACTTGCAGTCAGACTTGCTGTCACGATGATGGCGATCACAACGACTCCCCAGGCTCTGCGTCTGTACAGCAGCCACACCAGAGGAGGCAACAGAGCGAAGAACTGCACATCGTTCGGGAGGTACCAAGTCCACCCCATACACTGTTCGTCTCTGTTGAAGGGGTAGAAGTTGTTGATGAACAGCAAGTGGGACCACCAGTATCTAGAACAAGCTCCAGCATATTCTTCTTTGTACTTGAAAAATACAGGACCAGTCCCGACCATCGACATGATTTGCCAGAAAAAGAATATTGTTGCCAGGTACAATGGAATCAGTCTTAGAAGCCTGTGGAGCATGATCATCAAAAATGGCTGGTTCTTACCGTTCCGCTTCTTGACATACTCGAGCATCAAGTATCCTCCTAAGAACCCACTGATCCAGAAGAACACATCGACAGAGTATGGGGCCGCCATGAGGATGTAGAAACTCCACTCGTCGAACCATCTCAGGAACTCAAGCGGGTTCGATGTGGGGCCTCTCAGCGAGTACAAGAAGGTGTGGCCGACCACTACGAATGTCAGTGAAAGTACTCTCAAGCCGTTGAGGATCTCGAGTTGTTTGTCGACTTTGGAAGCTCGGCCATAGATGAGTCTCTTGGTATTGTTGTACAAAGCAAACGAATACAAGTAGTTTTGGAGAATGCCTTGTGGCTTGATGTCATCAGCAGCTTGGTCTTGCTGCTCGTCTTCATCTTCATTTATGGATCTTAGCCTTTGACGCTCAAGAGCTCTTTTGGCTTTTCTGGCTTCTAGCCACATTTCGAAGATTGTCCCAGCAATGACTGACACAATACTAAATAGAAAGAATAGTATTGCAATGATGAAGACTGGAGATATTGATGTTGCCTCTGAGTTTCTCAATGCTGAGTCTCTGAACTGGAAGTTGTCAGCTGTCCAGTCAACATTGAACGCTTCTGCGTCAGGCAACACATCTTGGAGCTGTCGTGCAAGCACTGCTAGCTGGCTTGACACTGGTAAGTAGTCATCTTCTGTGCACTCAATAGGTCCTCAGATGCCGAAATAAAATCCTAGCGGTAGACCACTCACTGAAAGCACCATAAATCGGGTATAGTCTAACTGGCTGCAGTCGAAGAACCGTCCAACATCATTGAGGTCTCGTCCTGTGTAAAACGTCATGAGACCAATTTCTTGTGCGTACGACTCAAAGTTATTAGCGTAGTTCATAACAGCTGCTGCTCATGACTCGCTAGCGTGTTCCTGGAACTCAGGGTCATTAGCGTAATGTTCTAGAGCTTGCCTATAGTTGAAGTTTTGGAATTTATATGCAAGCATGCCCATCATTTCTTGCTGACACCAACAAGAAAGTATTATTGTAAGTAGGATGATACTAATCTTTGCCATATTGGAATAAATATTATATCTTTCTCCAACATATACCATTTATGAGGGGTTTTGGGGTTTTGGGGTTTTGGGGTTTTGGGG